GGCCTGTGAAGGTCAAGCTAGCACGATGGCTTATTGTGCTAACATCAGACATCCCAAGTCTCCTGGAAGTTCCGGGAGTCTCCCTGATATAGATAGTTGTTCACAGATGCTTGTGAGTTGGATAAATTGTCCCGGATTTTAGACTACGCTAGTTTTTTTTAATGCTAGTGAGAGCGTGCAGGTTGTACAATAATTTGTGCAACATGTGTGGATTAGAACTACTACGATTGGTTTGATAAGCATCTCCACAAGATGAGTTTTTGGAACTTGGGATGTCGGTAACATGTGGTGGTGCACTGTCACCAATGGTGCCATTCAAGGTGCGCAGTAACAATTTTTCCGGATGTGATGTGTGATCATATACTACTGAGAATTGCATAATTGTATCTTCTTGGCTGATTTGAACCTTTATCACGTGTTGTACTTCATATGGGGAACACCCAGATGATGTTGCTTATGGGCCTGTTGTTGTGGCATTTCGCCATTGGTCAGGGTGCCTAACAAAGACACAAAAGTCTCGATAAATTCAGGAACAAATATATTTCTACAGCAGGAACCAATATCGCCGCAGCTTCTTTTATATGGGTTGTTTTTTTACTTTATAATAGTATATAACACTGAGATATCCAGCCCGGATTACAACAATTGATTTTTTTTTTTGTGCCACTACAGTATTTTATGAGTTCTTTCTACGCCGCTGCATCAGTTACTTTTATCTGTTTAATGCCAAGGTGAGACCTCCCTCATCAGTCATCTCTTTACCTTAGCCTGCCCTATTATTTTGTCTGACGTCCTTTTTACTGCACTTTCCCTCCATCTGGCACACACTGTCCTGATCTCAGCCTGCAGTGGGTCGCTCCGTGTCTGAAAATACCACGATAACAAGATGGAGGCGTTGGTTTTTTTGTTTTTTAGGACACCGGTGCTCTCTCATCCATCCTTCTGGCCTGCTACACCTGTAATGAAACCCAGCAGCTCTGCATTGTGCCTCCCAGTATATTTGCTGTAAGCATTTTTTTTTTTGTACCCCCCCCTTCTTCTGTTTGCAGTGGTGGAATGCACCAGCTGCATTAAGTGGGCCATTTATTCGAAGGGGGCAATTCATCTTACAAAGCCGTCTTATTAGACTGTCACTTACACAGTATGAACGGTGCCTTCAAAACACCCCAAGGGATTTATCTGTTATTTTACTGCGAGAGACAGAAAACAACGCCTAATTGGACTGAGTCATCTCGTCTTCTGCGGCAGTGAAACAAAAAGGTAACAAAAAAAAAGAAGCGGGGGGGGGGGAACGCACGGAGCGGGCGTTTGAGCCAACGAACAAACGGGTATCCGTGTTTAAATGTTCCCACAGCATGCAGATAGAGTGACAGACAGAGCGGAGAGAGGGAGACAGTCGGAGAGGTGGTGGAGGAGTGATTGCCTGTCTGTGCTGCGCGGAAAGTAATCTCAGAGCAATCAAGAGGCGGGGGCGGCCGACAGCTCCTCACTTCTGAAAACCACAGGCAGGTAGAGAAAAATCATTAGGCACCACTCCTGACCCCATAGGTCACTTTTATTGGACAACCACTGTGTTTTGTATTAGACCCCCGCTGATGGAGACAGACTGCCTAAGTCACGTAACTAATAAACCAACAGGACGGACACATAGATGTTTTCCTCAAATTAAATACCGTCATGCATTCTGGGAGCAGGGTTTTTAGAGGAACTTAGGAGGGGAGCGTCTCTGCGATGAGCTGTCTGTGTCCTCCTGTAATCCCTGACTCACTCACTGATGCTGAGATCAGAGCTCTGTGGATACCATCTGTTGCACCAGTCCTCGCTTCTCTCTCTGAAGATGCTACTTAACCACTCCGGCTGAAAGTTTCTCAGAGCTGCACGGACAGATATTAGTTGTCACCGAGGAAAAGTGCGCGTCTAAAGGGCACATGGAGTGGGGTGGGGGGGGTGCGAGGTCGGATCTCCTGCAGCGCCTCTTTAGTGCTGCCATTTCTGATCGACAGTGAAGCTTTTATCTCTCCCCTAGAGTCAAGTCTGAATAGAGGCGATTTTCTTTCTTTTTTTTTATTTTTTATTTTCCAAAGAAAGCAGCTTTCACTCACCTTTAGTGCGTTTTTTTTTTCAGACTAAGTGTGTGTGGGGGGAGAGAGAGAGAGAGAGAGCAAATGCCTCTGCAGGGGGAAGCAGCGGTGGGATTCAATGGCTGAGCGTCGGGGATGTGGGGGGGTGCACAGGTAGTCACAGAGAGGGGAAATTAACCACTCCACAGACTGAGCACTAATAGATGCCAAACTGTGCGTGATTTGAGAAGAGGAATGTGTCAAGGTGTTGCACACTGATCTCATAATGTTAGAGGGTAATAGAGGTTGATAGCTTGCATGTTAAAACCTAAATCTCTTATGCTTCACCCCCTCTTATGCTAAATCTCCTGCAAAAAAAACTCAGTCACAGCTTTCTCAGAAAGTGCTCACTAGGCCTCAACTTTCCAACCTTTTATAAGCACACATTTCATGTAGTTTATAGGTACTTTATGGGATATATTGTTTGTTTTTTTAACAAATAAAAATCTCAATTGTCTTAACTGTATCTCCACCAGCTTTTGTTTGTCTCTGCAAAAGCTCCATTACACTTTAATGCAGGGGTCTGCAACCTTTAAAACCCAAAGAGACATTTTACCCAAAGTCCAGATCAATAAAAGTCAATTAGAGCCAGTGTTGGGCACGTTACTTTGAAAAGTAAATAGTTATAGTTACTAGTTACTTCTCCCAAAAAGTAACTGAGTTACTAACTGAGGTACTCCACAATAAAAGTAACTAGTTACTAGTAAAAGTAACTATTGCGTTACTTTTGCGTTTCTCGCCGGCGTAACCCTCACCACCCAGCCCCCACCTTCTCACCGTGTGTTTCAAAAGCCAGCTGAATAGAGCGGACGACAAAGACAAGAACCTGCAGAGAGTTTTGCATTTATTGCAACTCAACCTAAATGACATCAGGGGGGAACGCCATGTGAAGTTTTTTAACAGGGCATTCAGATCTGGTGAGTTTATGAAATTAATAACTAGGGATGTCTAATTCTGAAATCCTGTGTGTTTGGGTTGTTATAGATACTGCAACATCTATCTATCCATGTATCTATCTAGATGTATACTCTGTGTGTGACATAAAATATGGATCTCCATCCCTGCTACAAAGGCCATTAAATAATGTTTAAAATAAAAAATACAGTAGGTTGAAAAGGCAGAGTATCCATCCATCCATCCATCCATCCATCCATCCATCCATCCATCCATCCATCCATCCATCCATCCATCCATCCATCCCCCTTTCTCCATATAGGCTAATGATCCTTCACGCTCTCCATAGTTCTCCTGTGGCGCGAGCACAGGGCGACTGTTGCGTGCCTTTAGCGAGCATGCGCGTTTCCTGTCGCTTGCGCGGTGAATCGTGCCGCCTGCGCTGTGCGGAGATGCAGGGGAAACCGTATGTGATGGGGAAACGCAGCTCGACGTAACACCGGTATTTCCACCCGGAATGGTAACTGCATTATAGTTACAGTTAAAGTAATTAGTTAGATTACTCGTTACTAAAACAAGGTAACGGCGTTAGTAACGCCAATCGTCCAATCACTGATTAGAGCTGCAAATATCAAATTAATTTTTAATAAAATGTGAAAAGATGTGCAATGGAAAATGTGCTGCTATTTTAAAGAAAACAAATTTAATTAGCATTTTCAGGTTTTGAGATTTCTGGAAGATGGTATCTGTTATGTAAATCAAACATTGTTTCTAAGCTAATTATAAAAAAAAAAAAAAAAAAAAAGATATAAAAACATAACTGGTTCTTTTAGGGTCATTTTGTTGTGGAAATTCAAAAGCTTCTAGAAATGGCACATCCAACACCACTGGTTCTTTATTTATTTTAGCAAAGATTAAGAGCCGTCTTTAAACCTGTGGCTGCGGAGCTGCAGGTTGCAGACCCCTGCTTTAATGGATAGTGCAAGGCCAGGTGTGGACTTTGACTGGACCATTTTAACATGTGCATATTTGCAGCAGGGTCCTGTAGGTTAGATGTGTTCTTGCTTTAGTAATGGCTGAATTACTTCCCCAGCATGTCATCTAGCTTGACCTTCTTGCATAAAGGCCAGATCTGTGGAATACAAGACCATTAGTGCTCCTTTAGACAGGTTTTACCACCAAAGCTCTGGATCTCAGACACCTCATGATCTAAGCTATTAAATCTGAGGGTACGTGTCAAACCAACTTTGATCCAACCCATCGTTTAAAAACCCAACAAATATCTCAAAGTATCTCCATCTTTTACAGGAAGCACCCAGGTCTCCGCTTTTTTTAGCCTCTGCTAGCTTGGCTTTTTTTTTAAAGGTCCTCATATTGCAACTGTTGTAATTAGGGTATTTGTAATTAGTGCAATTTATTGCTTCGTGTATCCCACTGAGACAGAAGCAGTCAAACACAGAGGTCTTAATTTGCAATATTACACACTGTGTAATTGGGAATTTGTTTTCTTTGCGTCCCTCGGAGACACGCAGACGGGCACATGTAGAACCGGAGTGGACAGGGAAGCCAGGGTTGGGTTTCAGGAATGAGCAGGTGCAACGCCGGAGCTGGAGTGGCTTTTATGTAATTAGCCCTCACTCCACATTATTAAAAAAAAAAAAGCGGCTAATCACAAGCTTGTCGGCCTGCCGGACAGGGACAGGACGTCTGTGCTGTAATTTGGTGCTCCTTGCAGGTCAGCTGAGAGCTGTAGAGTTCTATTCAATATCTTCAGCTGCCTCCTAATTTCAAGTGTAGAAATAGGCTCTACCTTCAACTAGATGCGACAAGGAAATAAGAATAATAATGCCAAGCCCCATATGGAATGAGATATAGACCCTTATTGGCTGGAGCGCTGATATTAACAGCATTATATGTGCAGGTGACAGTGTGGCACCAGCCAATTTCCCTAGATATGAGAAGGAAGAGATTGCAGGTGGGATTTACCCTGTGTGTGGTCAGGGGAGAGGCAGCCGCCACTGGCAGCCATGTTGTCACCTCCCTCCCTTGCTGGTTGTTTGCATTTGAGCCGAAGCTTATCCTTTTCTTGTGCGTCTTCCAGCTTGTGTTTGTCTTCCAGAGGCTCACGCTCATTCTCAGAGCCGGAGAGGACTGTGGACTCTTGACCAGTTTGGGCTTGAGGAGGCCTTGGGGATCCTGGGGGAGCAGAAAGAGAAACTGCTTTTATACAATGTGTGTGTGTGAAGTCAGCTGACTTATACAAGAAACAATTCTTAATGTCCAGGAGTACCTAGACCTAGGAGAACAACCTGACAGAAAGGAATAAACACCTGTCACTCTCCTTCCACCGACTCATGTACCAAACCAGCAAAAACATCGGCTTAGCGAGCGGATTATGCTCTCGTTTCATTGTTTTGCTAATTTCTCACCACTATCATGTGCATTCAAACCCAAACAAACCATAATTGAAAGCAATTACTTGGTCTGAATGTGGCTGCGGCTGAGGGCGGCCAACAGGATTCTCACCACTGATGGGGGCTCAGTGCGAGCGGTAGACCTGACTCTGACTGCCTCCGTTTGTAAATACCTGTGATGGAAAATATATATTTTTTCTTTGGAATGTCATGGTTGAATCCTCTCAGCTTCACGAATTATTTACCAGCTGGAGTTAAATTCCTGACATTAAAATTGAAAATTTTTTTTTAAATTGTCTTTTAATTTGACAAAACCAGCATTTGATGAGAAGACTAAGAGCTCAGTAGTTCAGCGCTGATGCATCTATACGCCTCTAGCATATTTTTCTGAATTTGCTTCGGGTGGGAAATTTTCCACGCTATCCGGCGGATGTGGCGAACAGAGCATGTCAAATTGGTCCGACCTAGCAAACAACCAAAGCAATATATATTCAAGATGTATTTTGTGAATACAAAAAGTTAGCCTTGTGAGACCATCCTGATCTCGCGAGCTTTAAAGGTTTCACTCGCTAATCAGTCTGGAGACTCTACGTTAAAGATAAAATTTAGAGCCGTTCGCCAAAC